CTACGACTGGTGGTGCGGCGAGGATCGAGGATGTGGGGTTGGGTATGAGTCTGGTCGGCTTGGTAAGTTTCCTTGTATTGATTTATAAGATTGATAGCTGATTGCGAATAGGTTGTTGTACCGTTAGCGGCAGTCATTCTCTGAGCTTTGCGATATTGATGAACAAAGATACCATGTCGGTGCTCAGGTCTGCTGGAGCTACTCCGGTTCATGCTCGAGCGAAATCGACAAATTCGCTTTTGATGGGATCTACGCGTCCGCCTGTACTCATGTCCCTCAGGGTCCAGAGATGCTTGGATCATGCTGATTCGGCTTCTCGCTGGAAACAAATCTGAATGTTTGATCGGGCACCGAAAAAGAGCACGGTACGAATCATGAGCTATGATGATGGAGCGGGTGAGCTTCCAGACTTCCATCGATGTACGAGAGCGATCTTCGAAGGAAATTTTGCGAAAGATCTGGTATAAGGAGGCGATGGGTGTCTGAGCCCCTTTGGCGAGATCAAGAAGCTTTGATCGCCAGAAGTGGATATCCGTTGCTATCTTGCAAAGAGATCTCCAGATATGTACTGGCGTACTTCTGTGTATAAAGCCGCTTTCGCTCACCATCATGGGCATTCGAATCAACGACCACCCGAATTCTCCAGATGACTACAACGTGGTTTGACATCTATCATGTTGTGTCGTTTGTGTGGCTTGCCATCTCTTTGCGCGATCGGAAGAGATCATCATGAAATGTAGGTGCGCCCACGAATTCGGTCCGAGAATTGCGAAATGATATGAAGATACACCTGTGTGACCTTTGCGCGGCGCTGGATTTCGTGCGACTGATCGCAGCCATGGAGCTTGACTCTGGAGACGTAGATGACTAAACATCCGATCTGATTTAACCTGGTGTTCTTACCTCTTCTGCGTGAGAGTCTTCCTTATGTCGATGTGAGGCGGCGCGAAATGCATGGAATTTCTCTCAACACCCCTCTCCGTCTTCCGCTATTCAAATACTAAATTTGGAGTTGATGTGGGCGGTATATGCATGTGAGGGCTCACTGGGCCTAGAAGATGAGGAGCTACAAGGTTGGGCACGCATCGATCTAAATGCCAAGCCGCTAGTCATCTAGCCCTTTCCTAGATCACTTTCCCACGCGCACGCTTGCTCTAACAGCGCAGCCGTCATTGCAGGTGCAACCCGATGTTTGCTTGTATACCGGCGCTTCTTCGTGTTCGAAGATGCAATCCTCTCAACACTCTTCGTAGATTGCGCGTAAGCTCGTGGATTAGTATAGCATCCGCAGATGCCGTCGACCCCCATCATTTCCCTGATCACTCATCCCGTCATCTACGCTTCCAAGTAGCCGTGCCGTTGGACGGAACCCATTTTTTCCGCACAGTCACTCCGCATCTCCACTACGGCCATGGTGGCATTCCGGATGAATGTTTCATGTTGTACATCTGCAATACTCGGCCAAACAAAACACGACTTAGACCTTTTGCCACTGACCGGCCAGCCGTACCCCCTGTTCTTCCGAGCCGTTCCCCATGATAGCACGCTTCCGGATGCCGATTTGTGGGTCAAATACCTCTTTTCGCATAGCACTGCTGTCAAGCATCGTCTGGACTTGGCTTTGGTGCTTGAAGTGCTTGTGCTTTGGGGTCGGAAATGACGAGGCTGCAGTTCTTCTACCACTACAGCGGCCGAGCGCAATATTATGTGGCGACTAGTCGGTAATATGCAGGTGGCTCTTCAACAGATTATCTGGGGACCCAAGACCCTGCATACATTTATATAGCTTCGTCGAGATCCCGTATACTCATCTTCACCCAACGCTCACGTCAGATTCAAGCCGTCACCATGCGATTCCACGGTACTAATAGCACTTTACAGCCTAGACCATTTTTGTACTGACGAACTTCTAGCTGCATCATCATTGGCTCTTGCCACTGCGGGAACTGTATCTGCCATACCTTCACCCTCTGCAACTGCGGCCACCGATGCCTGTTACGTGACGAAGTACGCCGCTATCCCGGCTGCAGTCGCAGCTTGCACCTGCATAACCCTCGATGGCATCACCGTTCCTGGTAACTCAAGTATCGATCTTACGAAGCTGAAGACTGGAACCAAGGTTACGTTCAAAGGAAGGACCTTCTGGGAGTACGCCGATGCAAACTATGCCTTCATCAAGGTGGCAGGCACTAATGTCGAGATCACTGCCGAAGAAGACGCAGTACTTGATGGCAATGGTCAGGCTTGGTGGGATGGCCTTGGTAGCAACGGAGGCGTTGCCAAGCCAAACCACTTCATTGAGGTGAAGGTGCTTGGAAAGAGTTCCGTACACGACATCTACATCAAGAACTATCCGGTGCACTGCTTCAGTATCAGCAACAGCGCTGGTCTGGATGTCCACCACATTACGCTGGACAACAGCGACGGATATGCGCCCAACAACCGCTCCAATGGCCTTCCTGCAGCACACAACAGCGATGGATTTGGTCTGAGTAGCACCAATAATACCAAGGTTCGCGACAGTGTCGTTATCAACCAGGATGATTGTGTAGCTGTCACCAGTGGAGACAACATCCACGTCAGCAACATGTACTGCAACGGCAGCCACGGTCTCTCCATCGGATCTGTGGGTGGAAAGTCAAGTATGCCATTCCATCATCCATCTATACAGTAGGCATGCTTTACTAACGACATCTAATCAGACAACAACGTAACAAACATCTCATTCACAAACTCCGTGGTTCTTAACGCCGAGAACGGAGCCCGCATCAAGTCGAATTCCAACACCACCGGTTTCATCTCCAACATCCACTACGAGAACATTCGCGTTGAAAACATCTCCATCTACGGAATCGACATCCAGCAAGACTACCTAAACGGTGGGCCAACTGGCAACCCCACGAACGGTGTCATCATCCAAAACATCACAATGAAGAACATATTTGGTACGGCAACAGAGGAAGGAAAGAACTACTATATCCTTTGTGGTGAAGGAAGCTGTAGCGACATCAAGATCGACAACGTTCGTATCACTGGAGGCGGAGAAGAGAGTTCATGCAATTTCAAGACGGAGGGTAACTTTGACTGCGACGGACACTTTGTATGAGCTGGCTATCTCTGTACTTCTATATTTCGTTCGCAGAGTGCGGAAACCATGCCGCGTGTCAACAGAATTGAATAGTCGTTCCAACTACCGCGCGCTTTGATGGTTTCACAGACAATCCCTAGCAATATCGTTTGCAGTTTCTGAGGACCAGAGTTCAAGCGATGAGTACTACTATGTGGGCCGGATGGATGGAGCCCCAGAGCGATGTAACACCAATGTTGTCACAATCGAACTACGCCGTACGTTCGGGTCATGGTGCTTCTTGACCTGCCTGCGCAAGTACCGTGTGAACTGCTGCGCACGCGCCACGTGACGTAAAATTCAACGTTAACCGGGCGTCGCGCCAACCACCTCGCGCCGCATCCAAAGTTCAGTCCGCTCCTGACTCTCGCCCAAACTTTGCTCGTCGTTTTGGGCAAACCGTTCGCGGTCTGGACGTCCTCGAGAGTACCGCGGCGGTTCGGGTCCCGAACGACGGCGCCGCTTTTCAGGGACACGCCATTGTGGGTACGCGCTCACGACGACATGGAAGAGGCGCGATGGAGTTAATTACAGTACGTCTTCGTGATTAACGCTCCGTCCGATTTCACATACCAAGCAACCAAACGCTCTAGCTAAGGCTGTTATCTCGAACTACTGCAATTTATCCGGCCACTTCCTGCCCGTTATGGCAGAGTCCCGTCTCCTTACATTACCCTACACTAGTCGATATTTCCTTTGATCGCGCGTGGTTACGCGATGACCTCGAGCTACAAGGGCATCCTCAGCGATGACGGACTGCAGTGCGGCAGCCCAATTGTTACAATCACAGTCCCAAAGCGTTCATTCGCTGCTATCGTTTATGCATGGGGTACGTGCTCCTGCCGTCAGCACTCCATTCTGTCAGCCACCGCGTCTCAAGTAAGTCGTCGTGGGAAGGGCATTCGAGTGCTGATTGACGTGCGCGCGCTGTGAGGGAGTCCTTCCTCAATGTACAATGGTTGCCGTGCTACCTCGTCCAACGCCTGACCGGCTGTCGAGCTGCGATAGCTGCGTCTGCGTTAAGCGAAGGCGTGATGCCGAAGTTCGGCGTGCAGGAATGAATCCTGTCAGGTCCCACCAAAAATGTCACTCATCACGGCACCAACACACTTCGAGAAGTTACCAGCGGTGCGTCATCCAGGTACCGCGCGCTGCATGCCCCTTACAGGGCCTAGTGTTCGGATGGATTCGTTGCGGATGGCCTGTTGCGTTTCTGCGATAGGTGCGTGTTGCTGCACACCATGTCTGTGCGAATCATCGCCTCGCGCAGCCACCTTGTCCGGCCACGTCTCGACCCGGCTCGAAAACTGCCTTCAGACGGCGCTGAAAGAGACTTGAGCAGTCGATGCGCACACTATCTCTTTCATTCTCGTCGCTTGCTCTCGTGCTCTCCCAGCCCCTACTACGGTTCCTTGCGGCCACCTCAAACACGCTACATATTGGCATGCCTGTCGTAGCCTCAGCCTTGCCCCAGCTTTGAGGCCAAACCAGGGCAGTGGTCATGTCGATGTTGCGCACGAGCGCCCCCGCGAGCAGCCCTCAATTAGCTTCTTCTACAATCCTTCCATACGCCTTCTAGAAGCGTGCCATTTCCGCATCCCCCGCTGCACCTTTGCGTGAGGTGATCCCACTTGTATATCAACTGTCGCACCAACAGCAGCTGATGCCTGCTCGGATACACGATTATCCACTCCTTGGCCCCTAGTCTTACCGCGACACCTGGATACCCTTCCCCACCCTCTTTTGCACCTCCGCCTGTCGTTCGTTCTAGTTTTCAGTCGTTTGGGTTGTCGCAAGGTCTTCATGGTCGGCATGTTGGAGTAGTCTTCTGTTGCGCGATTTGAACTGAGCATACGGCTCTCCCCTCGCCACAATGGAGGACAACCTAGACATACCGGAGGAGTCTATGCGACACATTGAGGCCCTGCTGGCGAGGCATCCTCCACATTTGATCCAGAGAATGTTTTCTCAAGCGATAGATTCGCGTACGTTTCTCGTTGTATTGTTTTGTGTGTACGTGCTCACCAAGTCTAGGCCGCAACTCTACAGCCTCGTCATTCATGTCTACCAGCACCGCGAGTTCATCTACAACATCCTCGTCGGGGTCATCATGGCGGTCTCGGCTTTCTATGGCATCGACATTCTCTTCATCTACAGGGAGCAGCGATACGCGAAGTTCCATTGCTTCCTCTTCGTCATCGCGCTCCAGGATGAGAAGGGCGGAGCCGCGTTCCTACCCAGCTGGTCTTGATCCGACACGTCCGGTGCCGGCTTCCATGCCTGTGGTGGACACTGAGAGTCCACTCGACCTCAAGATTGAACCGAGCTACACACCGACAGACGACATTAGTGTTGCTTCCCCATCGCTGAACCCGGATGATGATAAGTCACAGAGTCAGTCAGGCGAGCCATTCATGTTCTGTACGTATTGTGCCGAACAGAAGAGCCAGAAGACGTTCAAAGCAAAGTCTGACTGGAAGAAACATGAGATGAGGATGCACGAGACTGGAGAAGACTGGCCTTGTGTCGTCAACGGTTGCAACCGCATTTTCGACCGACAGAAAGATTTCATCAAGCATCATCAACGCTACCATGCCGGTCGACCCCTGCCGTCACTGACAGACATTGGCATCACGTTGTTGCCGCGAAGAGTGTTTGGTTGCGGGTTTGACAAGTGTAAAGAAGTCAGCATCGGTTGGGATGAGCGATGCGACCACGTCGCGAAGCACATGAAGAATGGCGCGACGATGGACCAGTGGAAATACTCTAATGTGATCAGGAACCTAATACGACAGGAAGCTCTCCACGACACATGGAAAGAGCTTATCGGTTGCCTGGACGAGAGATTGCGAGAGAGTCGGTCGCAGATTAGTTGGTGTCCCGACAACTCGCGAATCCTCCGACAGAAGCTCCAGTGCTGTGACCTTCGACCAAGCCGGGAAGAGGTTTTGATTACCGCCTTGAGTCTACGCGCTGATATACCCCTGGACCCAGTGCATCAACAGCTACCCACTGGCTTCGTAACACCCTCAAGAGATTCTGTCCCGCATGTTGAGAAGCTGTCGCGCGAGCAGCGAATGCACATACTCATCGGGAACTCCAACCCACATCACTCAAGAGCGCGGCTCGCGAGCATCAACGCAGCTTTGCTGCGCATTTGTAGTTCGTTGGCGCACGTGCCTGACTATGATTGCGGCTCGTCTCCATTTGTGGAGCCGCAGACGCCTGGTGCGCCCGCAGTGGATACGGCCAGCCGCCGTATCAGTTATATGGACGTGGACCCTGGAGATTACCTGGACGTAGCGCAACCGGCTATTCCTGAACTCCCACCGGCTATGACGACATCCACAATGCATACACCCCATGCACACCCCACGCCAGTCATGGATCACGAGCAGCACACACAGTTGTACCAACAGGAGTACATGGATCAAGTCAAGGCCACACCCAACCCACTGGAATCACTGTATCCCAACTACTTCGGTGCTGCTCCCCAGTTCGAAGAGTCGCAGTACTACGACCGCCCGTCGTTCGGTCAAATGATATCGAAGCCGCTCCACAAGATAGGCAGTCGGATAAGCAGCTCAAGAGGCAGCTCTTCGAATCAGCGACCATCATCGCAGATGAGTCAAGCTTCGTCAGAGATGCTTCCTGACTATAGTGTTGCCGCAATGGGCATGCGTCACCCTCATCAGCATCAGCAGCAGCAGCCCCAGCACCACATCCCACAACACCATCAGCATCCTCAACACCCTCAACATCACCTGATGCCCCAGCAGCATCAACCCTACCGCGACACGACATCGCAAATGCATGACCACATACACATGTACACCACACAAAGCTGAAAGCTCACGTGCAACGAAGTCTTCATGTTCCAGTACTTTCATCAACGCCCCCTTTAGTCCTTTCAAGCGAGCATTTAGAGTTTTATTTGTTACCTCATTATTTTTCTTTGATACCCCGTGCTTTCGAGCACATCTGATAGACTTGTACTATAAAGCATATTCATAGTATAGAGATGTTATTCGTGTGACGTCACTCAGCCTCTTGTCTTGCGCTTCATGCGATTATGTGGTGAATATGTCATGTATCTGTCGCTGAGAGTGTGGCTTCGTTTGGTATCGTCCGCGTGTAGTCATCCCGTTCGCATGAACCCAACGGTGTTGTTCACCGTGAGACACAACGTCGACAAGCTCCTGTTTCAGCCTATGCCCAGTCACCACGGCGTTTCCATATACCAACAGGACTATCGTGCCTTCTTTTTTCTTTCGTTCTAAGTGGACTTGATTCATGCGCTCAGCCGCGCATGTTTGCTCTTTCCTCGTTCACCTCGCTTATCAACGCCACTGCCTGTTACAGCCACCTTGGCAAGACCCTCACTCACCTCCTCCTACTTTCAAACTCTCTCTCCCCATTGCACCACTCTCACTTGCTTCAAGCTACTAACATGCAATTACTCGATCTGCCACCGGAGCTCTTCGAGAGGGTTGTCACCGCTCTTGCGCGTGCAGCGCCCTTCCATGAGCTAATCCGACTGCGCGCCGTGTCCCGTACACATTGATATTCGTGACAGTTATGGACAGTGAAGCTAATAGACACAGGGACATTTGCCGGAGACATCGACAACGAACTTCTTGCGAATACGTCTGTTGCGGACTTTCATAGTCGTTACCATCAACGCCAGTCGATTCCTACTCGTCTTGATATCCGGAATGCTCTACCTCCTCTGCATCAGCTACACGTTATATCGCAATATAAAAAGAATGGTGTTACCGACTCGATGGATACGCTTCCATCTGACATCAAGGGCTACCTTTTGAGCAACATCGAGACCTATCTGCTCAATCACATCGAAGACGCCGATATCACAGCCTCCGGACTGCCGAATTTCATACATAAGGTCACGGATAAGCTCATGGAGTTCGCTACCGCAGGTACTGATCGTTCTGTTCTACGACAGGGCCATCTGAAGGCACTTATCCATGGTTTAGTCCTTACAAATGAAGTTGCCCCACGGACTATGTTCGAAATAAAACCATTGCCGTTGGACTCCGTCTTTACAACAATGTCCAGACCCGGTTCGCGCAGCATAGCGGAAAGGGAACGGGACCATCTCAACTCCGCACAAGAGAACGTCAACGACATGCTGGCAGCAGCAGCTATGGTAGGGAGTCTCGCAGCTGTTCGTCACTACATTTCGCAATCTGCTGAGGTCATTGACTGGTTCCCCAAATACTTTGCTGGCTTTGGTAACCCTGTAACCGCGGCAGCCTGCAGTGGAAATATCGAAGTTCTTGAGTATCTGCTCATAGAAGTCAACAATGAGCTCACGAAGCGGCGTTTCGCTCGGATACAGCACGGTCGTATCACCCGTTGCGGTCCACTCACAGAGACTATCACTTCCGCAATAAGAGCCGCAGTTCGGACCGGAAAACTGAGGGCCGTCGTCACACTGTTTAATTTCTTGCCAAGATGCCGCGTTGAAATACCAGCGCATATGAAGTCCCGGTCACACTACCTTGCCGATGCCATGAGGTGGGGACACATGGACGTGTTCATATGGCTCATGGACCAATGGAATCCTCTCATCGCCGACCTGCCCTATTGGAATGCCCTGACTGCAGGCTTACGTCTTGCGGTCAAACATGGTCATACCAACATTGTGCAATACGTCTTCGACAAAGGTTTGGTACATCCAGATGATGCGGACGTCAACACTGTGCTCATCGCTGCGACACACGGTCATCGCGCTATCATACAACTGGCGCTCGACCAAGGCGTTCAGCTTGCGATGCAGGACCTCATCGCGGCGCTGAACGGATCACTTCCCTTGCTTATCACCCAATATCTTGTGCTTCACAACGTTCCACTCACGTCTGTGATCAACGAGGAAGATGGAAGGTCGATCACTACTTCCATCGTTCCTGTAGTCGAAGCGCTCTGTCGAGAATCTATCCACATTCCTTTCGGCGATTACAACGAGGTTCGAGGCAAGGAAAAGGTGCTGGCGCTCATACTCTTGGCGAGCGAGATGAGACGACAAATTCCAGAGCTTACGTTGGACAACTGTGTTGAGCTCAAGAAGGTGTTCGATAGGCTGGTCAGAGAGTGTGTGTCCTTGCCAAGGGGGTCAATTCCGTATCTTGAGATGGTTGAAGAGCTGCACAGCTGGATGGAGTGGGGAGATGGACGAGAGTGGGCAAATTGCGAAGTCTAGCGCGAAAGCATATAGTATGTGTGCTTGGGTGCCTGAGAAGGAAGTGGGTCGGACTGCAAGGAAGAATGTCTGCTCCTGCAGCTGCAAGACAGATGCAATTAAGATATGAGACACCTTTCCGTAAACATGGTGCCAACATGTCCTGATTTGTAACACCGCACTGACCCTTGTTTGCTATGGGTCCTGCAAGTGCCGGCGGCCTCTTATATGCAAGCGGGTCTAAACTCGTGTACCATGGGTCTGGGACATTGACAGCGGATATGAGCATGCAGGGAGAATTCGCGGGCTTCCATGCATGAACAGGGACGACATGGATTAATGGGGTTACAGTGGGCTGTTGCATAAGGTCTGCCCTACCAACGTGCCACTGACACACCGGAGCTCGCCGAGTGAATGGAACCAATGATGATTCAAGACAATACCATGTTGTTCGAAGAAGCCAGGAGGTGATGTGGTGAAAATAGATGCGAGAGACGAGATGGCCACGGACCGATTGCGCACACGTCTGGCTTACCTAACTCGGCGCCTATCCGACGTTCTTCCATCCATGGTCCCATGTACCAGGCGCGTGTGAATGTCACCGTTAGCCTTCAGCTCGCAGTTCTTTTTTGGTAGACCCTGGCGATATTCCTTCATCATCATCTCCTCGCGAAGTCATGACACCCACTCGGCCAGCCCGATCAACTTCTTTCTTTGTATGTCTAGACGACTTGCTAGACGATAGGGCACATGTCTTCAATGAAGGGCTTGTAGTGGTTGACAAGGCTTTGCCTCATCTCATGGCAGCACCGAAGCTCGACGAAGGCTGCCTCGGCAATCCTTGTAAGGCTTACTTAGACGGACGGGAACGCGGTTATGCGGCACCGTAGTTCGTGAATACCAGTACCACGCTCTGCCATCCGCAGTCGTGTAGCACGCTCTGAGGGCGTGGTTCTACCACGAGGTAAAAGGACGCAATGTGATTGGCTGGAGAGTTAGCGGCGTCTGCGGTGATCTGGGGTTATCAGAGATTTCGAAGGATGGAGGCCCAGCTTGGCGTGGGGCTGGGCGGACTGGGCGCCAAGGGAACGTGGTACAGCGTCGAACGCTCGTTCGTTCACCTTGACTTGGTTACACCAAGGCGATGGCGAAGACCCGCGACAAGACACAGTGGAGACTTGACGCGACACCAACATGCCATGCGCGTGGATCCAGGCTTGGGGGTCCCGTAGACCAATCACACGTCTCTTGCACCCGAACGCTCACCCCGGAGCGGCGCTGAGGGTCCAGAAAATAGGTGCTGTTGGGCTTTTGGACCACGGCCAGAGCCGAATAGCATGATATTGTGGCTTCGATGATCCACCGCGCCTCGAAGAGGCAGGCAACACCGTCTGACGTCCACAAAAGTCCACTTGCAGTGAAATGTCATCTGCGCCGCCAAGATCCCACGCCTCCGTTTGTATGCTGTGTACTTAAACTCCCCTGCACTCGTTCAACCAAACAGTCAGGACACCTCACAACACCTCAGCTTTTCAGTCAACCGGCGCTACTGCTCGCCACTCTTCACCCACAATGGCTCCCGCCTTGAAGAAGTACGACTGGATCCTAGCGATCACCACCATCGCCTTTATCGCCTCGTCTGCATCCAACGGTGCCAACGATGTCGCCAACTCCTACGCCACGTCCGTGGCTGCGAGGACCTTGAAGATGTGGCAGGCTGGTATTCTGGCCTGCTTCACTGAGTTCCTCGGTGCTGTCGCTCTCGGATCCCGAGTCACTGGAACTATCAAGAGCGGTATCTTCGCCCTCGACACCTTCAAGCCTGTACCCGGTACCCTCATGCTCGCCATGGGTTGCGCCGAGGTCGGATCCGCCGTCTTCCTTACTGTCGCTACCATCGCTGGTATGCCCGTCTCGACTACCCAGACCGTCGTTGGTGCTCTCGCTGGTGCCGGTATTGCTGCTCAATCTCCTCTCAGTTGGGGCTGGAAAAAGGGATCCATCTCCCAGATCGCCGCCTCATGGGTCATTGCGCCATTCCTGTCCGCCGCCTTCGCTGCCGTCCTCTTCTTGACCATCAAGTTCGGTGTCCACAACCGCAAGGACCCTTTCAAGTGGGCTATGCGCCTGGTTCCTTTCTACCTGGCTTTCACCGCTGGTGTCCTCGCCCTCTTCATCATTGACGAGCTGCCAAACGGCGAATCTCTCGAGGAGATGGGCGCTGGCAAGGCCTGCGGTATCATTCTCGGTGTCTTCTTCGGCATGCTTGCCATCGCTTACATCTTCTTCATCCCTTACTTCACCCGCCGCCTTGTCAAGGGCGACACCAGACTGAGGGCGTGGCACATTCCTCTCGGTCCCCTTCTGTACCGCGAGAACCCTCCCATCTACTTCCCCGGCAAGGGCGACCAGGTCGTTACCGATTACTACGCGAAGGCTGCCCCTGTCCCGATCCAAGAGAACGACGGGCTCAAGGGCGAGAAGGCTGTTGGCCACTCCACCTCCCTCGACAACAAGTCTTCTGACAGCGACAACATTGACGTCGAGGGTGGCCGCGGTCTCTCCCGTCCTCTTCCCCGCGATGGCGCCGTTGCTCACATTGTCCCTGCCACCCCTGAGCCTGAGGAGCGCTGGTTGAAGCCCGTCGAACACCTTCCTTTCTACTCTCCCAAGAAGATCGCCAACTGGACCAAGTTTATCCTTCTCCAGGGTGTCTCCCGCGATGTCGTTACCCAGAAGGATCTCGCCGATGTCCACTCCCGCGCTATTGTCTACGACAACCGCGTCGAGCATCTCTGGACCTACGCCCAAGTTGCCTCCGCCATGATGATGTCCATTGCCCACGGTTCCAACGATGGTAAGCTATAATTTCTGAAATCCTCACTTCTACACACATGCTAATCCCCCTTCGCAGTTGCCAACGCAGTCGGCCCCTGGGTCGGTTCTTACAACACCTATACCACTGGTGTCGTAACCAAGGAAGCCGACACCCCCATCTGGATCCTCGTCGTCGCCGGTCTCCTCCTCGGCATCGGTTTCTGGTTCTACGGCTACCACATTGTGCGCGCGCTCGGCAACAAGATCACCCAAGTCTCGCCCACGCGTGGTTTCAGCATGGAGCTCGGCGCCGCCATCACCGTGCTCCTCGCCTCGCGTCTCGCGCTCCCCGTCTCCACAACGCAATGTCTCACTGGTGCTACCATTGGTGTTGCGCTCTGCAACTTTGATCTCAAGGCCGTCAACTGGAAGCAGGTTGGCTTCATCTTCTCCGGTTGGGTCATCACCCTGCCCGGTGCTGGTCTTATCTCTGGTCTGCTCATGGTTATGGCGCTTAACACGCCCCATTTCTAGATGTCAGCTAGAGCTTCTTTCTTCCTTTGGCCAGTTTGATTAGGTCCCTTTTTTTATGCGATGAATGCGCGGATGGGGCATGAAATGGAGTATGATACCAATCGTTTAATGTACCAAATTGTAATCTATAGAGTTACACACTATGAGTCTCCCGAGAATTTCGCATGTGATGAGTGATTGTCGTGAAGCGCCAGCTCGAGAGAAGGAGCGTTTTGCTTGCAGTCCCAGAGCTGGATCAAGAGGTGTCGTCTCAGCACCAACGTCCGCTCGGCGATTTAGTCGGCCGCAATGGATTCCTGAACGCCATTTGCAATATCGTACTGTACAAACTCAAGCAGACTCAGCGGCGATACGCGCAAAGATATCAAGGAACACGCGCAACAATACTGATCGCAGGCAAAACCGAAGGTCTCACTCAACTCGCGCAAAGATACAAGGGTGGAAGCAGCTCGAAGCCACCAAAAACATTGGTATTCCCCTAAAGCAGCACAGCACAGCGCAGCACAGAACCCTGTCGGGGGAGGCTACAAATAACGGTCCAGTCTACCCTGACCCATACACTGCGTTGGAATAAAAAACGTGGTAAGTGTGTCAATGACACACAAACTCCATACGCCCAGCACAGTAAAACACCGCCGGCCCGAGCATAGAAAAGACAGGCTTCAGGGCCTATGCATTACATCATAAAGCGAGGCTAGAAAAGGATGGCTGAGAAGCGAATTAAAATAGCGATAAGAGGTGAGGAGGAGGAGGAGGTGATGAGCGGACGCGACGGGGTATGTGAGTATCGGTATGTGCCTATGCGGTCTGCTTGCTCGACGACTGCTGGAGTTCGTTGACAAAAGCGTCGTAATCTGCGGCGGAGGAACCTGAGCCTACTATGCTGGTAAGCCATGGATCGGACCGGCTGCTTCTTCATCTTCAATAAGCGTCTGGGTTGGGGTAGAAAGAGGACGGCGAAGGGTGCTGCTGACCTTGCGGTGGCTCGTCGACCTTTTGGCGCTTCTCGGCGTAGTCGTACGAACCTTCAGAGCTGGTGTGCTTGTTGCCTGATGCGCTGTGTTGGGCTGCTGCTGCTGCTTGCGCTGCCATTTGCAGTTCGCCGATTTGGTGCTCCGAGAGTCCTCCATTGTTGTTGTTGGAGCCCTGCTGTTGCTGCTGTGGTTGCTCGGGTTGCTGGGGCGGCTGTGGTGGGTTCGGTTGTTGGTGCATGTTTGGCTGTTCGTGGGGCCGGTTGAGGTCTACACCAGCCGGCGCAGGTGGTATCTCGCCTTGGGTTTCGAGTAGTCGCGATTGCAGATTGATGATGTAATCGCGCAATTGGTAGTTCTCGGTTTGGAGCGTCTTGTACAGCTCGCATAGCTGCTCGAACTCCTTGACCTGGTCTTTCAGCTGCTTGATGTACTCTTCCTTACGCTGGCGGAATGCGCGCTGGTGGTGTTAGCTTGTGCCATTGGAATGCGCGCGTTGCATGTACCTGGGCAGCGCGATTCTGTGCGGCACGCTTAGATGTCGACAGCTCTCTCCGTCCCTTGGAGCGACCCTCGCTCGTGTTCCCATCGTCGGGGCCGCCGGCGCTCATGTCGTAGGCGGAGCCCCCAATTGCCGGGTCGATGGCGTGTGGTGGGCCAGCAGTGTGCGAGTGCTGGGGATGCTGGGCGTGGGGGGAA